AAAAAGATACCAAACCTTTTGTGGCGATGTGACGTCATTGGAAGGCTTGTAGCGCCATCTATTGTAGAAATGGTGAACTGCTGTGAACTAGTCCATCTTGCCCGAAGGCCGCGAACAGCTGCAGTTACAGAATATTTCCACACACTCTCCAGAATCCTTCTGGGTTAACTGCAGCCACCTGGAGCGCCTTCCCAGCCAGCCTGGGAACTGTGGCCCTAGGGGCATTCCGACGTCATGTGGGCATTGTGTTTATTCTTTCTGTACCTCAGTTTCCTCGATTGCATCAAGCACTCAGCTAATGGGATCCAGATGAGGAGTAAACGTGTTTGCAGGGCTCTGTACTACAATCGTGGGGGCGGGCAGGCACTACTGAAAAAGCTCAGGGAAGTCTAGAATCCACCCACTCTAAGGAGGAGCCAAGGCAGGGGACTTACTTTTTGTGTACCGCAGGAAGTGGTTTTATTTTAGGATTTGGTGTGGGGCTGGGGTGCTGAGGATTGAACTCAAAACGTTTGCACTGAGCTACTTCGCCAGTCCTTTTCTACATCTATTTTAAAGCAGGGTCTCACTAAGTTGCCCAGGCTGGGCCTGAACTTGTGATCCTCTGGCCTCAGCCTTTCAGAGTCCTGGAATGGCAGATGTGCTCTACTATGCCCAGATTCAAGAGATTTTAATGTACAGCTCGAGTTGAGAATCAGCTAGTGAGTAGGGCGCGCATATGTGCACGGAGGGTTGAACCCAGGGCCGTGCACGCGTTAGACAAGTGCCCTACCATGGGGCTACATTCCCAGACCCTGTATATTTTTTATAATAGAAGTAATATTTTAATATTATGGTTCAGCAGAAAGAACAGACACCTAAATATCTGAAGACCTAGGTTCTAAGCTTTTTTCTCATTTATTGGATATGTGTTCTTGGGAAAGCTGCTGTCTCTAATCATACAATCTTCCATGAAAACTGAAGATGTACACTTGTTTGCTTTGAGACAGAATCTCACTGTGTAATTTAGGTTGGCCTTGAACTCACTATGTAGCCCAGGCTGGCAGTGACAATTTTACTGTCTCAGCTTCCCGAGGGCTGGCATTATAAGCTTGTGCCACTGTGGCTGCCTAATGTGATAATAATCCGTGTCCCCACCTTAATGCATAGGATTACCATGACATGTGAAACACCAACTGTGAATCTCTGTACTGTACAGTACCATACCAATGTGTAGTATTGTTGGAAGGAAAAGATGTTTCTCTCGTCAAAGAGAAATCTGGAAAGACTTCTGAAAACCCGGCACCCTGGAGCAGCACTGTCTTATGCCAACGTGTATGTCGTTGACAGAGCTGCTCAGGCACAACTGTGAGAAGGGGTCCCTGAGGAAGACCTGCAACCTGCCTGCTCTAATGATCGCTGCAGTACTGTAGAGTCCCAGAAGGAGGCAGCCTCACCTCAGCCCCAGCCATAGATTTAACTGCTAAGCTTACTTTAGTCAACTTGATTATTTTTTGTATTTCCTTTTTTAATTGTTAGGAAACCCAGGAAATTGTGCATGCGAGGCCAGTGCTCTAGCACTGAGCTATATCCTCAGCTCCATTGACGATTTTAATTACTGCTAATTTTTTTAATATTCCTTTTTTTGATACATGGTCTTGCTAAATTGTCCAGACTAGCTTCAAAGTCATGATCTACCTGCCTCAGCCTCCTGAGTGCTGGAATTACAGGCACTTACAACCATGCCTGGGTTTATGTTTTTGAGACAGGATATTGCTTTGTAGCCCAGGCTGGCTTTGAATTCACGGTGATCCCCCTGCTTCAGTCTCCCAAGTGCTGGGGTTACAGGTGTGTGCCATTATGCCCAACTTTTTTTTTTTAACTGACACGTAGTTTTACACAGTCATGGAGCACAATGTGATCCTTCAGTCCATGCATTCTAGTTTGGGTCACTGTGACAAAATACCTGAGATAAACAACTTAAAGTAGGAAAGGTTCATTTGACTCATGGCTTCAGAGGGGCCAGTCCATGGCTGACTGGCTCCAAGGCCAAAAATGTCATGATAGAAGTTATGGCAAAGCAAAGTGCTTACTTCACGGTGGCCAGAAGTGAAAAGAGGCAGAGCAAGGATCTGAAAGCACACAGCTAACAGAAGGGGCCCAGCTACCGCATGCTGGTGTGTGGTGCCACCCACTTCCCAGGAAGGCTCACCTCTTTATTTGCTGTACCACATGCTACTCATGCCTGGTCAGGAAGGCTCGCCCCTCTCTATTTGCTGTACCACGTGCCAATCATGCCTGGTCAGGAAGGCTCGCCCCTCTATTTGCTGTACCACGTGCCAATCATGCCTGGTCAGGAAGGCTTACCCCTCTATTTGCTGTACCACGTGCCAATCATGCCTGGTCTCACCCTCACAGAAGCAGCCAGCAATGTGCACTACTGATCTCGCAGGTGTCTCTCAATCGCTTCAAGCACAGTCTTGTGATTAACATCACTTTGTGTGTGTCACCAACAAATCAGGATAATTAATAAATTCACTACTAGAGCCAGGTGGGTGGTGCACACCTGTAATCTGAGCACTCAGGAGGCTGAGACAGGAGGATTGTCACAATTTCAAGGTCAGCCTACATTACACAGAAAGACCCTGTCTCAAACAAATATATATATGTACATATATATGTATATGTATATGTATATATATATATATATTTCAACCTCAAACATTTGTCATTTCTCACTTCTTTGCATTAGAATACTTTCTTCTAGATATTTTGAAATATGTGACAGTGACTGGTAACTATAGGCTTCCTGCTGGGTGTAATCCCAGCCTGTGGGAGTCTGAGGCAGGAAGGTTGTTGTGAACTGGAGACCAACTTGGGCTACAAAGTGAGCTCAAGACCAGCTGTACTACATAGTGAGACCCTATCTTAAAAAGACCAAATAAATAAAGAAAGAAAGAAGAAGAAGAAAAAAAAAAAGGAAGAAAAGACAAAGACTGAGGCTGGAGAGATAACTCAGTAGTCTACGTTCCTGCCTGGCAAGTGCAAGGACTCAGGTTCGATCCCAGTACCACATGCCACCGGCCCCAGAACCTCGGGCATGGTGGAGCATGCCTGCGATCCTTTTTCTATGTTGCACGGCCATTGGGTATTATCTCAAATAAACTGGCCAACTCTTATTATTACTGGGGCACATGAATGACAGGACCGAAGGAAACACTGAGCACCCTCCAGTTGGCAAGTGGGGCCACTGGCTGGGTAACTGCTGACACATCTGCATGAGCATCTATTAAAAGCTTAACAAGCCTTCTCCTTATATTGGCAGCTAACATGGTTCCCTTGGGCTGAGAGGCAAACATCTGTGATCTTATCAATCTGCCTTTCAACCATGAAACACGGTCTGAGCAATTGTTATCAACTGAGACAAATTTATTCCTGCAAACCCTTCTAACTTCTGTGTGTGTGTCAGATCCCTGGGGCCCACTGAGCGAGGTATAATGTTTTAATTTTAAGGACTCCTGCAGGCAGCCCTGCTCAAGGAATGTGACAGCAATTTCTCTTGTAATGAAGCAGGAAACCTCAAGCAGACTCAGCTCACCTGGGCTATATGAGGTGGCCAATTAAGGCCTTAATATTTGTCTCTATAGACAAAATCTGGTGGATCCCAGTAAAAGGAATCTTAATCTAGCATATTTGCTATAGATTTTACCTGCATGATTGCCTAGATTTTGGTATCTTCTAGGAAAGAACAAATTTTTTGAGAGATTAGAACATGTATAGGGCCAGGGAGATGGCTCAGTAGAATAAGCACTTCCCTATTCCCTGGCAAGGGCAAGGGCCTGAGTTCAATCCCCAGTTCTGCCAAAAGAAAGAAAAAGAAAAAAGAACATGTATAATCAGAGCATGAGCACTGAGCTAACAGGTAAATGTGTAAACTTTTTGAGGCTAGCAATCATAACCCACTAGTTCTTAGACCTCTTTATTTATGAGTCTTGACAATTTTCTGTAAGTCCCTCTGGTCTTAGTTAAAGAGAGGTCACACCTGTATTAACTATCAACATGAAATATTTGAGTTATATCAAAAATCAACCAGGCTAACTTCATATGCTTTTGTTTTTGTTTTTTTGGTGGAACTGGGGATTGAACTCAGGCCCTTGGTGCTGGCCAGGGAAGTGCTTATTCTACTGAGCCATCTCCCTGGCCTAACTTCATATACTTATCATGAAATACACAGCATTCAGATTAAACCAATATCCCATTCAGTGTTTTGGATATGGCCCCCATTGTAAGCAAGGGACACTGCCAAGGGATTTCTCCTTTTTAACAGTGTGGCTGAGTTTTATGTCACAAATACAAGACCTGGTTCTATCTATAGGCCCAAAGCTGTTTGACATGGTACAGCCAGTGGTCTTAGACCTTTGTTTATGCTGACAAGATTTTATCTGTTCTTGGGAACCTGTTTTAACTAGGGAAATACATGAACAACAATATATATCACATTTGTAAAATATCAGTCTCGGCATCATTTTGATTAGTAAGTAACCTGAATATATATCGTAGTATCTCAGTTATAGCTAAAGCAAGATGTCTTGTAAAGTCTGTTTTTATTGGCCAGCCAAATAGTTCAGTGGATTAAAGCACCTGCAAGCAGGCACAGGGACCAGGGTTTGATCCCCCGGCCTGCCATGCTGGCCCTGCCCTGGGGTGCGCTGAGCGTGGGGGTATGCACCTGTAGTCCCAGCACTTGGGAGGCTGTAAACAGGAGAATCACTATGAGTCCGATCTAGTAGTGAGACCAGACCATGAACTCCCTGTAGACCCTTCCAAAAAAAAAAAAAAAAGTGTTTTTATTGAGGTATGATGATTGGAAGGAAGGTCAGTGTTGGAGAAAGACAAAGAGACCTATGTCAATATCCAGCAATAGGGCCCTTCAGTCCTACTGGCCCACCTGGGAAGCTGAGTCTGAGCTCTGGGGCCTCTACCTAAGAGTGCAGTCTCACTTCTAGTGGCTGCCTTGGCAGTCAGGGCATGGCTGGAGCCTCTTGAGGCAGTCCCTCTTACGCTGGCCTGGCTTCTGACAGCAGTAGCAGATGAACCTCATCATCGCTGAGCTCTTTTTGGAGCCCAAAGAATCAGAGCTGTTTTGAGGCCGAAACAAAGGCAACCATTTTTGATCTCTTTGCTTTCTCTCCCTGGTTTTCTCCCAGCTCCAATTATACGATGCTAAGAAACAGCTGTTATTAAAGTATCAAGTGAGTTATGTAGAGCAAAAGCTATCTTTTATAGCTCTTTTCTAATATCTGGAGGTGACTGCACAATGAATTTATCTGTAAGATTAACCTGTCTCTCTCTTGAATTAGCATCTCAGGAAGTGTCTTAGCAGTGCCTCTATTAAACATTTTAAGAAATCAGAGGTGTGCTTATCTTTTTCCTGGTAAATAGCTAAAATTTAATAATTGAAGGCTTGGTTTTAGTTCTTCTTAGACCTTCAAGAATACATACTTGAAAGAAAAATGTCTTTTCTAGTTTCTATTAGGCCAGCAGGGGTCTGACTGGTTCAGCTCCAGTGGGAACAGGTAGTTCCACTAGCTGTTTATCTCATGGCTATTTAAATTAACAATATGATATTTATCTCTAAATGTAATATCAGCTTGTAATGCTGCCTTTCATTAGAAGTCAAAGCTTGGTTTAAGATTAATATTATGTCTCTCCAATCTAGTTTATAAGTCTGCATGAGGCCCCCAAAGACCTCAATATACTTATCAGGGTTTTTCAAGTTCTGGCTTATTTGTTTTAGGTCAGAGAAAAAAGAACATGAACAGTAAAGGATATTGTTCTTGAGGAGCTTGTCTAAACTTAACTAAGGATGGGTATAGCCTTGTAGAGGCCTGGATTGCAGCTGTTCTAGAAGATTCACCCTCTAGTCTAGAAAGGCAAATAGGGGAAACCTTACTTTCAGTAATGGTGGGTGAGGCTGTGATTAACACTGTCTTGTCCTTAGGCTCCAAAGGTTAAGGAGGAGCAGCTTTGGGCTCCAGGATAGTGAATGCCTCAGGCACCTGAACTGCCTGCTTCTCCTGCAGCTCACATCTATATTTCAAAACTAGGTAACAATGACTTTCTTAATGCAAACAAAATCTGAACATAAGACTCTTTTTAAAACCATTTTGCTTTTTACAGTATCTTTTTAGTTGTAAAATAGTATCATAATTGATACTTCCCTCTGCATTCCATTTGGATTAAATGGCTTTTTCTGCATGTAAGGACCAAACATCTTCTGGTGCCTAATAAAGCACTCTAAAGGAGTAAGAAACTTTGTGAGATAACCTGGAATTTGACAGAAATTACCTTTTGGGTGTCCCCACCTTCTTTCTAATTGATTCCTCCACCCAGGCATCCTTTGAGTAGCCCTCTCCCGAGCAGGTGGATGGATGCTCCTGTTGGAGAGAAGGGAGACAAGATCCCACCAGCCTATCCACCCCCAAACTGGTGCGCAATTCCTATCTCCTGAAGCATCTCACAAACTTTTCACTTACTCTTATTGAATATTTGTAAATATAAGTTACAATTGGTCTTGTGACAGGAATATCCGCAGAAGGAAGCATAGCTATTGCATAAAAGGGTCAATTGGAAGTGAGCGATTTTCAGGCTATAAAGATCTCTTCTAGAGATAGATAGAAAACTACTGACTGGAGGGATTTGGCCCCGTGCACTGAGCCAAGTCTCCAGACACTTGTGTTTTTCATCTAATCACCTAGGTAAACATTTTTAGCAAATGGACAAGATTTAAATTTGAAGCTCGCAGATGAAACTTGTATTTTATCACCTAGCATCATATTTTACATGTTAGTACTTTAAGGCTGACAAAAAAATCTCTTTTTTCCTTAGTTAACAGGTAAGGTACAAATGTAAATCATTCCCCTGATAACTGCTTTATAATGTAAACCATTGTAAGCTGCTGCAGCCTAATTTCTCAGTTAAGTGGTTCTACTGAAAAATTTAGGGAGAACTTCCAGTTTACTAGCAAAGAGAGAAAAAAGTACAATAGGTAAATGGAGATTTTTCAGTGGTCAGGAGCCAGTTTCCGTCAAGGAACCTTTGGGTATGGCCATGACCCCTCAGGTGTTTTCAGTTTCTTTCTTTCTTTCTTTTTTTTTTTTTTTTGGTGAAACCAGGGATTGAACTCAGGCCCTTGCACTTGCCAGGGAAGTGCTTATTTTACTGAGCCACCTCCTTGGCCCCTATTTTCAGTTTCTATTGGCCCATACAACCAGAGACCAATTTCTAGAAAGGAATCTAGCTATCTCTCTGGTGAACATTCCATCAACCATTGGCCTCAATAGGGATTCACCAAAGACAGGCTGGGGAAACCTGTTCTCTGCTTCAGAGTGGCAGCTGCTCTAGGAGCCTTTACTAGCTAGCAGAGTAACCACTGTTTGCCCAAGTTCTATAAGGTATAGTTAAAAGCCTGAACAAGATTACCTAGCACTTTATATTAAAGGTTTTAAAGTCACAACTTAGCTCTTATGCACCCAAATGATAACTAGACCTAAGAAAAAAAGGTTGAGATCCTCCCTCACACTAAATGTGTTTTGGTCCCATAAGCGTGCTGCTTTTGGAGATAGCTCCTTCTGGTGTCACCCAGAAGTTGGTTCTCTCCACTCTGTCTCAGGTTTAGCCTCCCAAAGGAGACCTGCCCAGAACACTAAGCTAGGACATGGCTTTTATATGTGTCCTCCTGGACAGGCATAGTTCCTCTGTCTCCTTTGACCCAGACACAGGGATGTGTCCTTTTTCTAAAATGACTTTCCTGTCTTCAGTATTAACAAATGCTCATTTTCTAAGGGCTTTACTTAGTTAGAACAGTCTAGAGTTTTCCTAATTTTACATGCCTCTAAAAAGGAAAGTACAAAGAGGTGGGAAAATTAGGAGTAAAGTTAAAGAAAGGAAACTGAGGGGCTAGGGAGATGGCTCAGTAGAATAAATGCTTCCCTGGCAAGTGCAAGGGCCTGAGTTCAGTCCCCAATTCCGAAAAAAAAAAAAATTAGGAAACTGAAACAGAGCTGGCCTGACATTTCCTCTAGTATATATAGGGGGATCAGAACCAGTCTGTCCCAGTGAAAACCTGTCCTCCAAGTCTTTAAGAACAGTTGCCAACCGAATGTCATTAAGTTGGCAAAAGGAGTCCCATATTTCATATATAGGCGTGTATATTTTCTAAGTCTGAGCTAGATTTAAAAGTCCCATTTTGGGCTGGTGAGATGGCTCGGTGGTCTGGAACACTTACTTGGAACAAGCTTAGCAAGGCTC